CTGAAAGTCATAGTTTGTCTACCCTGCCCTTAATGAAGGTTTGTTTCAACCTTGGAGACAGAAAACATATTCTTCCTCTTTTTATTTGTATTGTCTTGAGAAACTTGTTGTGTGTTTTTTAAAGTATGAATGGTATTGGCATTCTTTCATTTATCACCCTTAATCTCTGAGCCACAGGTTCCTCATTTGCACTAAAATTTTCCTCCCTGCCCTAAACTGGCTTCGATTCAGGTCAAGGGCATATACCTCAGTTGAAGGCTGGATCCCTGGCTCTGGTTAGGGTCATGAGGGGGCAACCAGTCAATGTGTCTCTCTCATATCAGTGTTTCTCTGTATCTCTCCCCCTCCCTTCCACTCTCTCTAAAAATCAGTGGGAAAATATCCTTGGGTGAGATTACGAGCAACAAAAAAGATTTTCTTTCCTGGGGCATATTTTAGACTAAGTCGAGGCATTTATGCAAAAGCATCTAGCATAGTGCTTGGCACACAGTAGTTGTTCATAACAGGCCATCTGCTCAGCTCCCCTTTCCTCTCTTCGCATGCCGGCGGGCTGATGGCTGAGGGGAGTGACAGCCACTGGCGAGCCAGGTGTAGGCTCGTGAGGGTGGAGAGCCTGAGGCTGGGCTGGCAGGCACTACTTCCCAGGGTTTCAGAGGGTGTTGGGGCAGAGATGCGCCCCAGCCTCTGTACTGTGACAGAGCTGGAAAGGAGGGAGGCTGCCCACTCCCCCACTGCTGGGTGGGACATTGCAGAGAAGGGGCTGTGGATCCCTAGCCCAGACCCACCCTCCCAAGGGCTCACACGCTGCCGCTGCTGGACGCTTGGGGGCTGAAAGGAGCAGCTGAGCGCGCCCTGCAGCCAGTCCCTGGCTTGGGTGTCTGAGCAGCTGGCGGGCAGGCAGCAGGTGGCAAGAGTAGATGGAGACAATGGCCCTGGGTCAGATAGGTGAGGCGCGCAAAACTTCTGCCAGGGCAGCACCAGGGCAGCACCAGGGCAGCACCAGGGCCGCGGAGTTCTGGTGGATAACAAGTGCTGGCAACTGTGGCCTTGATGCTGGCACCGGGGTCTAAGAACCTGGTAGGGTGAGGATGTGCCTCTCTTGCCTCGGCCTGGCACAGGCCCCTGCTGCACTGCCGGTGGGGGGAGGGTAGGGCCTGGCCCAGCGCGAGCCTCTTGCTGTTTGCTGCCTGCTGCAGCTCACCAGTCCCCTATGGGCTGGGGGGAGGCACCTGGTCGTCCCTTCGGTCATTTTGGACATTAGGGACCCTGGCTCTTTATATATATACTAGAGGCCTGGTGCACAAAAATTTGTGCACTCGAGGGGAAGGTGGGGGGGTCCCTCAGCCCTACCTGTGCCCTCTCGCAGTCTGGGACCCCTCGGGAGATAATGCCCTGCTGGCTTAGGCCTGCTCCCGGGTGGCAGAGGGCAGGCCCAATC